GGGGGCGAGGGCGGACGCTTCCTTTTTTTCTGGGATTCGAGCCTCTGCCTACCCAAAGTGTCCCCCCTTTGAACTATTTTTAGATATCCAATTTCGGCTGACGGACCCTTAAATTATTGTAAAGCGCCTTCGGCACCAATATATACTAATTTTCAGGGGGGAAGGCGCGCCGATAAATCGCAATTTTCCGGTAAAAGTTTTCCAAAAAGTGCCTAAAAAGTGCTTTTTGGCCTGTTTTTTTGAAATTTTGCAGTTATTTTGGCCCCATTTTGAAATTTTTTTAAAAATCTGCCTCCCCTCCCAGTCAAGAAAATCCTAGATCCGCCCCTGTATGTATATATTTATGTATATATGTATGCGTGATTGAGTGTGTATGTGTTTTTGGAATGGAGCTGGGGGGGGTCAGAAAAGTACCGACAATTGGTCTTTCAGCCTCCCAATGGTTTGCAAGTCTCAGCTTCATCTGCCGTCTATTCATGGGACTTGGAGGCGCACTTGTCTGGGGTACTGGGATCCCCCTTCTAACTTCAATTGCACCCGAATACGCTGGTCGAGTCACATCGCTCGCTGAGTCGGCGATCGGCTTCGGTTTAGCCATCGGACCCCCTCTCGGCAGTGCCATGTACTCTCTAGGGGGGTATGAGTTGCCCTTTTTGACGTCCGGGGCCATCGAATTGGTTCTGGCACTGCTCGTGTTTTATGCACTACCTAACGGACCAGCGGACGAAGACAACGAAAAAAAATCGTGAGCACTAATTAGTTGAGTTATACAAAAAATCATTTTTGAAAAAAAAGCGTCAATCAAGAAAGAGCAAAATGAACAAATTAAGGGTAGCTCAAAAAACGAACAATAGGACCAAAAATTTTGGACAAGGGGACCAAAAATAAAACTTATGCTTATTCATTGATTGATGGTAATGATCGCGGTCTATGCCTATAAAAGCCAAAAAACTTGCTCATTGTAAGCAAATATTATTTTAGTTTTTCTCGATATTTTAACTTTCGGCATGATCTTTTTTTGACACAGGCCTCCTTATTTAAACCCAGTCGTTTTTACTTACGCGCATTCTTATAAATCCCAGCTGGAATCTAATATTTCTCAAAGTTCTGCGCCTCAAGTTAATTAATTTTAAAAACCCTGATGAATAAATTCTGACGAAATTTTGAATCACAAAAAAACTTTTTGTGGCGGCTTTTCTCATAGTAATTAGTTGAAACCACTATAATTTACCCCAAAATTAGGTTGTTGGATAAAAAAACCGACGGCGACGGTGAAGAAGCGGAACCTATGCTCAAAAAAACTGACGAGTCGTTTCAAAATGAGTCACCAGAAATTCCCAGCACTTTCCGAGCTGCCCTCGACTTCCTGGCAATTCGTGGAATCTGGGTTTACAGCGTATTTCTGATATTGCTTGGTGTACCGCTGGCTCTTTTAGACGTTGCACTCTCTCCGTATCTTCTGGAACAGTTCGACATAGAGGGAGATTTCTCGGGCTGGTATTTCTTGGCAGCAGGTGCTTTTTACGCAGTTTGCTCTCAATTTGTCGGCTGGGCTACTGATAAAGGCATGGTTTTAAAATTTTTATAAAAAAGCAGCCTCCAAAAAAAGAAAACGTGTATTAAGGATAAAGCCGATGGAAATTGATTTAGGTCATGTATGATTAATCAAAGTCGACTCGGGGTGATTGTACACTTACAAACTAATTCTTAATTCCTGCAATGCATTCCTAAGCAATTTTTTCGTACCATACAAGCTATAAACGTTAGTGTATGTTCATAAAAGTGTGGATTTAAAATAAAAATATTATTTATAATGATATTTTGTTTTACTTTTCAATTGTTCTCAAGGATTCGCTGCTCATTCGTTCTTCTGGCTTTCGAATATGCTCATCATTGTCACTGGAATGTACTCTCTTCCACTTTTGATGCCATTTCTGGAAAACAAGTACTACGTAGTGTTTGTTCTGGCTCTCAATGGAATTGCGATGTCTGGCACCTTTGTACCGATATACCTCATTCTACAGGAAATAGCACAGAAGGGAGGCTACTCACATGACCTTGAGAACTTGCAACTAGTGGTCGGGTTCTGGGTGACATTCACCCTGTCAGGTAACTTAGTTGTAACTCTTATCTTTGCCTACTTGATTTTCAAAAGGAACTGATAAAAATTCTGTTTCATACCGGTATAAGCAAAAAATATTAGGCAAAAAAGCAAGTTTTTTGCTGCTCGATTTCTTGAAACGTTGACGCCGCTAAATTTTGGATTATTCAACCAAAAGTGACTTTTAAGAGCTTTTTTGATTTATGTTTTCTTCTTATTTTTGTTTATTTATGAAGCCAAACTGTATTTTTGTTTACTTGTAAGCGGTTTTCCTGTTTTAGATTACATGAACAAATATTCAAAAAATTGCATCGCTCAAAAAAACAAGCAAATTAACGGAATCAGCAACAAAATTGCAGAATCCGAAACAGTTTGTGGAATCCACAAACAAAATTTTTTAGATGTGTCAGTAAAATTACGCTGTCGCGGAATTGGCGGCTGCAAGTGGAGTCAGCTTTCATTTGCAGAATCTGCTTACAGTTTGCGGAGACCGCATACATTTACGGAAACAATGTGAGGAAGAAAGCCCGAAATAGCCTTCATTAAAAGCTGCTGCACAAATTCTTGTTCATATCAAAAATTTAATCCGGCAGTAATTTAAGCACAGAAAACTCATGAACTAAATATGCCTAAAACAGCATGCAAAAAAAATTCAGTGCACACAGTTTTTGGAATAAACTAATGCGTACATAGCTTATAGCTTTTAACAAATTTATCGGACAACGTATTAAATTTCTGAAATAATTCTGCCCTTCAAATTTAAACTACTTTGCAGTTTCGCGTTTTGGAAAGACTTTTTTGCAGTTTCGCGTTTGCTTTTTTGTCGGAGTTTTATGTGTTTGGTTTTGCTCTGAAAAACTACATGTAAAATCGTAATTGGGTGAAAAAATTGTACTGATTTTACACTGCATTTTCGACAGTTTAAAGACAGTTTTGAAAACTCGGTTGCAGTTTTAACGCCATTTGACTGTCTCAAGGTCAGAATTCTTTCAAAAATTTAAGACTTTGTCCGATAAAACTGAAAAAGCTTTAAAAACAAGTTTCAAATGTGCCAACACCAATCGAGTATGTACCATGAATAGTAAGACAAATCAAATTGGGATCCAGCTCAAACAAGCCGGTGAACCAATATAAATTGAGCATTTAGTTGCTGCTCTTATGAATTACGCCCTAGTCGTATCCATGAGAGTTGATAAGGAGGTCTTACAACGAACTCAGCGAAGTTAGAAACATTAACTATGATCCAAAAAAAGTTAATTTTCCGTTCGGGTTCGCCCTTTATATTTGACGTTCAAGGCGCGCTTAGCAAGTAGTCTCTTCGGTCACCTAAAATAGATGTACCCTTTGATTTTTTAGGGTTCGATTTTTGAGAAGGTATCTCAAAAAACACGGTACGAACATAAAGTTTTGTAAGCAAGGCAGATTCTAACTGATCCGTACTATTTGTATTTTCTTTCTCGGATAGTTACAAAGTGTTAACAGAAACAAGACTGCTTGTACCAGGGCGAAGCTCTGAAAGTTCCGACTGCCTTTTACGGTCTATGCAGCAGTAATACTATGAAAAAAATCATAATAAAGTAAAATAGAAAAAAATTAACTTTTGCGACTTTTTTTGTGAAAATCATCCCCCACACGCCATTTAAAGTACAGAGTGATAAATTTCGCTCCCACTAACAAATCAATTATGGCAAATAAGCTTCCTTCAACCAACTTGGAACGATTTCTAAGACTGATTAAATTTCCGCTTGCGAGTTAAAAGCGCGAAGTATATCACGTGTTAATTGTCCCAAATTCGCCAAAATGGCAATCTTTAAACCCCCATAACTTTAATAAAAATGATTACAGGTGAAATATCAAACTTAAGCTCAAGAAACAATTCTACCTTTTGATTGATATACAAAATTCCGTCAAAAAGGCTAATTAAAAAGCCAAAACTAATTTGAAAAAAAAAATAACCCCGAGCACAAATTTTCCGTTTTTTTTTTTTCGTTACGAAAGTCGGAGCATTAAACCTCCTATGGAATGTTTTAGATGCAAAAACGCACTTTTACTTCCTGAACAGTAAAACATCATAGTATTAAGTTGTACGAGTGGTTTTTGATTGTCAGCATATGTGCGTTTAAACGCGAAAATTGATTGACAAACAACAAAACAAGAGAGAAAAAATTAAATCACGATTGAAGAACGTACACTTTCAACAGGCCAAAAATCTGGTTGTAAACTGTAAAAAGATGAGAATTTTCACAGACGAAAGGCAACCTAAAAGAAATCAAACTGATTACAAGACTGCTCGTATCAGGGCGAAGCCCTGAATGTTCCGACTCCCTTTTAGGGTTTATGGAGCAGCAGTAATAACATTAAAAAATTAAAGGAAATAAAATAAAATGAATTTTTTTTTTTAAAATTTGAAATTTTTACTGAAAATCATCCCCCCACACGCCATATAAAGTACAAAAAGAGAGATTTCGTTCCTTGTAACAAATCAATTCAACCAATTTGGAACGATTTAGAGGACTGATTAAATCTCTGCTTACGCGATAATAGCGCGAATTATATCGCTGGTTAATTGTCCCAATTTGGTCAAAATGACAATCTTTAAACCCTCATAACTCTACGAAAAATAATCACAGGTGAAATTTAAGCTCAGGACAACAATACTTTTTGAATGATATAAAAAAATTCCGTCAAAAATGGCTAGTTAAAAAGTCGAAATTTGTCTGAAGAAAAAAAACCCACCCCGAGCACAAATATTCCGTTACTTTCGTATCGAAAGTCGGAACAAAAAGAACACAATCAGAGCACAATCAGCTGATTAAAAGTTGCTTTACCGATGGCTCTTTGAGGTTATTGGAGCCAAGGCGGCTTCTGAAATCTCTGAGGTTGAAGTGAATAGCAATTCATGCACCCCAAAATTATATTTGCTCTGCTTGATTAGATGATAAAAACAAAAACAAAATTTCGACCATTAATCAAAACAAGACTGCTCATATCAGGGCGAAGCCCTGAATGTTCCGACTGCCTTTTGAGGTTTCATGAGCAGTCAGTAATAACAAAAAAAATTAAATATAACAAAATCAGATGAAATTTTTTTTCTTCTAAAAATTGAAATTTTTTCAAATAAAAATCATCCCCCCACACGCCATATAAAGTAGAAAGAATAAATTTCGCTGCTTGTAACAAATCAATTATAGCGAATAAGCTTCTTTCAACCAATTTGAAACGATTTCTAAGACGGATTAATTCTCCGCTTACGCTTTAATAGCGCGAATTATATCGCTGGTTAATTGTCCCAATTTGGTCAAAATGGCAATCTTTAAACCCTCATAACTCTACGAAAAATAATCACAGGTGAAATTTGAGCTCAGGACAACAATACTTTTTGAATGATATAAAAAAATTCCGTCAAAAATGGCTAGTTAAAAAGTCGAAATTTGTCTGAAGAAAAAAAACCCACCCCGAGCACAAATATTCCGTTACTTTCGTATCGAAAGTCGGAACAAAAAGAACACAATCAGAGCACAATCAGCTGATTAAAAATTGCTTTAGCGATGACTCTTCGAGGTTATTGGAGCCAAGGCGGCTTCTGAAATCTCTGATGTTGAAATGAATAGCAATTCATGCACCCCAAAATTATATCTGCTCTGCTTGATTAGATGATAAAAACAAAAACAAAGTTTCGACTATTAATCAAAACAAGACTGCTCGTATCAGGGCGAAGCTCTGAATGTTCCGACTGCCTTTTGAGGTTTCATGAGCAGTCAGTAATAACAAAAAAAATTAAATATAACAAAATCAGATGAAATTTTTTTTCTTCTAAAAATTGAAATTTTTTCAAATAAAAATCATCCCCCCACACGCCATATAAAGTAGAAAGAATAAATTTCGCTGCTTGTAACAAATCAATTATAGCGAATAAGCTTCTTTCAACCAATTTGAAACGATTTCTAAGACGGATTAAATCTCCGCTTACGCTTTAATAGCGCGAATTATATCGCTGGTTAATTGTCCCAATTTGGTCAAAATGGCAATCTTTAAACCCTCATAACTCTACGAAAAATAATCACAGGTGAAATTTGAGCTCAGGACAACAATACTTTTTGAATGATATAAAAAAATTCCGTCAAAAATGGCTAGTTAAAAAGTCGAAATTTGTCTGAAGAAAAAAAACCCACCCCGAGCACAAATATTCCGTTACTTTCGTATCGAAAGTCGGAACAAAAAGAACACAATCAGAGCACAATCAGCTGATTAAAAATTGCTTTACTGATGACTCTTCGAGGTTATTGGAGCCAAGGCGGCTTCTGAAATCTCTGATGTTGAAATGAATAGCAATTCATGCACCCCAAAATTATATCTGCTCTGCTTGATTAGATGATAAAAACAAAAACAAAGTTTCGACTATTAATCAAAACAAGACTGCTCGTATCAGGGCGAAGCTCTGAATGTTCCGACTGCCTTTTGAGGTTTCATGAGCAGTCAGTAATAACAAAAAAAATTAAATATAACAAAATCACATGAAATTTTTTTTCTTCTAAAAATTGAAACTTTTTCAAATAAAAATCATCCCCCCACACGCCATATAAAGTAGAAAGAATAGATTTCGCTCCTTGTAACAAATCAATTATGGGAAATAAGCTTCTTTCAATCAATTTGGAACGATTTTAAGACGGATTAACTCTCCGCTTACGCGTTAATAGCGCGAAATATATCGCGCGTTAATTGTCCCAAATTGGCCAACTGAATCCAAGCCCTCACCTGACCAGAACCACTCCGACACGCCATAACTAGTCCTTCCATTTGAACCAACCCCCCTTTGTTTTTTGCTGTTAAACTTATTTTGTTTCAGCTGGAAGAATTCTGGGCTCAGTTGTGTTCGGTGGTCTCATCTACCCTGCCATCGAATTCGAGATGACATTTCTCTCTGTCTGCGGATGTCTAATAGTAGGCAGTGTCTGTAGCAATGGGTACCTTCTGTTTTCTGGAAACTACAGAAAGATGTACTACACTGAAGAATGACGTCATTGTCTTGAACTTGACTTTTATGAAATTCGATCCAATAATCTTCAAAAATTCCTCCAATAGGCATTAAAGTTTCACCAGAGACCAGGGTCATCTCATAATAGTTTTTTGTATAAATTATAGATTAAAGTGAATGCCTCGATTAACAATTTAAAATTTGGTAACTTCGTTTCTTTCCTTGCATGAATTTATCCTCTTAAAAATTGTTCGAACCGCTTGTGGGTTTCTGGTAGAAAAAGCTTCTTTGTTTTCACAGTTGTCACGTAAAAATTTTTTCTCGAAGCAAAAGGAGTCTTCAAAATCGTCATCGGAGAATTGTTCCCAACGAACCCTTATTTCTGCAGACTCATGTGTTAAATCCACGTGAATTTGTAAATTTTTTGATGCTCAACTTAAACTCCGTTTTGTAAAACTTCTGTTGCTTTGAGTCGGTTTGTTAGAGTCTGTATAGTCTGCTGATTAAAAGCATATCGGCTCGTGTCTCTCGAGACTTTAGTATTGAGAAAATTGCACATTTCAAGATAGAAGAAAACGAGAAAACGATTGAAAACAAAAATTATGTCCATGTTCCTAAAATTTTTGTACATGGGAGGGTTTTGAGGGGGAGTAGGGAGGCGCGGATGCTTCTTCTCCACGGGAATTTGAAACCCGCGCCAACCAAAAAGTACCCAGAAATCCATTTTTTGATTAATTGACCTTAAACTTCAAAAGGAGCCTAGGCGCGACAATATTTACTAGCTTTAAAGGGAGGGGGGGGGGGGGGGGGGAGGTTACTCCGAAAAAATAAATGTCGAGGTATATTTTCGTTCAGATTCGCACATTGAACCACGAATAAAAACAAAACAATTTTTAAAAACTTCGTATAGTTATTTTAAGATTATGCCGGATTTTTTTTTCTACTGGCACGGCAATCGGCTGTTCCTGTTTGCTATATATGTTTTATTTTTTTTGTTTAAAAGAAGAAAGAATCCATTTTTAAACAGTTCGTGCAACCAGACCTTTGCGGTATTGACTTTTTCTGGGCCCTTCTCCAAAACTTCTGTCCAATTTGTTGGTTTGCTTTGTTTTCAGCGAGAGTAAAAACTTTGTGTAAAAATTGAAATCAGGGTAGTCTAACATGGACAAACAAACATTTTTTACAAGAATTTTGTGGAACTTGCTACCTCTTTTGTTGCCGTAATTGCATGCAAACTTTTTTGTCAAAATTTAATGTCAACTTGACAATTTTCGAAATTTTGCTATGATCGTGATGTTTTTCTGCCCAGTTTTGACCTGAAAAAAAGGTTTTTTTTTTCCAGTGGAATTTTTGGCTCGTAGGGGTCAATTGTGGTTTTGTTTGCCTAATTGGCTGTGATTTTGATTCCGAAAAAAATTTTCTCAAAGTCTAAAAATAATTTTCCCTTTTCAGAGCAAAATTTCGCTAATCTACGACAACCTGATGATACTGAACTCAATTTCATTATTGTTTGATTACTTCGTTTTTATGCCATGTTAATTTTAAGCAAAAGTTAAAAAAAATTCCGTTTCTGCTATTTTGCCAAAATGAAATTCTCCCAATTCTCATCCTTCAGACAGTTTTGGACCGCTATTTTAAAAGCGTGCCTTCAATTCAAAGTTGCTTGCACATGGAATTGAACTTCGCAGAGAATATATGACAAAATGGTAAAATAAAGCACTTGAACTTAATGAAAAATTGGCTAATAACTACTATCGACGCGCAAACAGGTAAAAACGTTAGGGGAAAAACTGATAGGAAAAGTGATTATTTGAAAGTCTTTCGAGTGCTTGTAGTCCTATAAAGTCTGAATGGACGCCAGACTAATTTTTCATTAAGATGGATAGAAACCAAAAAATTTGAAAATTGTTGTTTGAGGTAAACTTGTATTTTAGTGAAAAAAAAATTTCGAGATCAATTGTACAATCTCCCTGTTTGATTCATGGAAAGTATTTTCAAAAATTTTTTTTAAGAGAGTATCATTTCATTTAACAGACTAATTTATTAAGTTACAATTAAATGTTGTTTTAAATGATTTTGTAGACATTTTTTACATGATTTTTTAAAATTGTATGAAAAAATTATACTAATTTATACTTATACTTTGCAAGATAATTATACTTTGCGCGTTTCTGATACGTATATTTCGAAAAAAAATTTATGATTTATTACAGTCTTGGGAATTAATTTTACATCAATTCGCTTGCGTGAATTCCGGAGGATTTTGAGGTTGATAGAAAAAGGATGTAAAATTGGAATCTGATTTGAACGTCTAAAATTTTTATTTTTGAAGGCTCAAACTTTTTCCCAAACACATGTTTTGCCCTAGTTCAATCATACAGTTCTAAAATACAATGATACCAGGTTAAAAACATTAGAAAGTTGAAGTACCATTATTTTACCATTTTACCATAGCCGAACCAGGTCAAATCTTCTCGATATTGACAAACAGGAATGAAACATGAGTCAAACATGACGCATTATTGATTGAGCAGAGTTGAGTCATGGGAGAAATAGAGTCAAACCCTGTTTTTTTTGTAGCAAGCTGAGAAGGTCGAACGACTGCCCTGGCTCAAAAATGGTTAAATCATGAGTCTAGCAGGGTAGAAATGGGAATCGAACTGGGTTCAATCATGGATCAAACATGATCGAATCGTGGGTCAAACAGAAATAGATCATAGGTCAAACAGGGTCGATACGATTGAAGAGGGTCCAACCATGAGTCGACCATGTTCAAATAATGGGTCAAGCAGAAACTAACACTGGGTCAAACGAGAGCGAACAATGTGTCAGCTAGGGTCAATAAAGTCGAACAGGGTCATGAGTTAAATAGAGTCAAATCCTGCAGAAACTCGTTTATCCTGGGCTGAGTTGCTCGAATCTTGATTCGACCAAAACGGTCAAATGCTGTCTTTTTCTGTCGCAAGTTGAGATGGTCTAACGAGGGCTCAAGTCGAACCAAGTCGAACCTTGGGTCAAAAAGGGTCAAATCACAAGTCGAACAGGTTGGAAAAGTTAATCGAACCGGGTTTAATCATGGATCAAACCGAATTTGATTTATGATTGGAACAGGCTCGAAACATTGGTCGAAAAGAGTAATCGAATTGTGGGTCAAATAAATTCAAATCGTAGGTCAAACAGAATCAAGACAATTGATGAGGTTCGAATCATGAGTTTTAGCTTGAGACGATCAAATAAAAGCATAAGCCGAACCAGGTCAAATCTTCTCGGTATGGTAAAAAAGGGTTGAATCATGAGTGTAGATCATGGTCGAACCATGGCTCGAACAGAGTTGAATAATGAGTCAAACTGAGTCGAATCCAGCAGAAAACTGTGTATCCTCAGCTGAGCTGAAGTACTCGACTCTTGATTCGATCGAGACAGTCGAATGCTGTTTCTTTTGTCGCAAGTTGGAACGGTCGAACGAAAATGTAAGTCAAACCAGGCCAAATATTCGGTCAAACAGGGTCAAATCATGGGTCGTACATGGTGGATGTGTGAATCAAACTGGATTGAATCATGGATCACACAGAGTCAATTTCTGAGTCGAACAGATTCAAGCAATGAGTCAAACAAGATCGAAACGTGGGTGAAACATTGTCAAAAAAGATTCAAAATACAGTCAAATCAAACAATTCGATACAATTGAACAACGTCGAACAATGAGTCGACCATGGTTAAACCATGGGTCAGGCCGAAACTAATAATGGGTCGAACAGAAGCAAATCAAGTGTCAGACAGGGTCAAATAAATTGAACAGGGTCGAATAATTGGTAAAAGAGAGAAGAGCCGTTGGTCAAACAGGGGCGAAATGTGCATGGAACCCGGTTGAATCTTGGGTCAAATAATATCGAATTGTGGGGCAAACAGGGTCGAATCACGATTCGAAGAGGGTCGATTGAGTCAAACAAGGCTGAACCATTAGTCGAATATGACCGAATGATGGATCAAAGAGAGACGAATTATGGTCAAACAGGGCCGATTCCTGCAGAAAAGTGTGTATCCAAAGAAAGAAAAGGTCGAAGGCTGTATTTTTTGTCGCAAGTTGAGACGGTCGAACGAAGGCTTAAATCGGACTAGGTCAAACTTCGGTTCAAACAGGGTCAAATCATGAGTCAAATAGGGTGGAAATGTAAATCGAACCGGATTTAATCATGGATCAATTAAAGTCGAATTATGGGTCAAACAGTGTCGAACCCTGCAGAAAGGTGTGTATTCTGGGCTGTGGTACTCGACTCTTGTTTCGACCGGAACGGTCAATAGCTGTCTTTTTTGTCGCAAGTTGAGACGGTCGAACGAAGGCTTAAATCGGACTAGGTCAAACTTCGGTTCAAACAGGGTCAAATCATGAGTCAAATAGGGTGGAAATGTAAATCGAACCGGATTTAATCATGGATCAATTAAAGTCGAATTATGGGTCAAACAGTGTCGAACCCTGCAAAAAGGTGTGTATTCTGGGCTGTGGTACTCGACTCTTGTTTCGACCGGAACGGTCAAAAGCTGTCTTTTTTGTCGCAAGTTGAGACGGTCGAACGAAGGCTTAAATCGGACTAGGTCAAACTTCGGTTCAAACAGGGTCAAATCATGAGTCAAATAGGGTGGAAATGTAAATCGAACCGGATTTAATCATGGATCAATTAAAGTCGAATTATGGGTCAAACAGTGTCGAACCCTGCAGAAAGGTGTGTATTCTGGGCTGTGGTACTCGACTCTTGTTTCGACCGGATCGGTCAAAAGCTGTCTTTTTGTCGCAAGTTGAGACGGTCGAACGAAGGCTTAAATCGGACTAGGTCAAACTTCGGTTCAAACAGGGTCAAATCATGAGTGAAATAGGGTGGAAATGTAAATCGAACCGGATTTAATCATGGATCAATTAAAGTCGAATTATGGGTCAAACAGTGTCGAACCCTGCAAAAAGGTGTGTATTCTGGGCTGTGGTACTCGACTCTTGTTTCGACCGGAACGGTCAAAAGCTGTCTTTTTTGTCGCAAGTTGAGACGGTCGAACGAAGGCTTAAATCGGACTAGGTCAAACTTCGGTTCAAACAGGGTCAAATCATGAGTCAAATAGGGTGGAAATGTAAATCGAACCGGATTTAATCATGGATCAATTAAAGTCGAATTATGGGTCAAACAGTGT